GAGATTTTTTGCAAACATTTCTTTGAGTAACATGACCATAAATATGAACTCACGATTAGATTGAATGTAACATAAAACAAATGATTACTTTTCGTTATAATCTTTATTAATGTCAAAACTGCTTACATTTATGTGTCTTTTTGTTCGCTCGGGCAGCCATGTTGCCCCTGAAGCCGGTTTACGCTGAGATAATTCATACCCCTTCGTTTGAAGTGTGGTCCCGAAATATCTTCGTTTGAAGGGCTGTCTGGCCCTTCCCCTACCCCTACCCCTCCAACCAAAAGAGAATTGATACACCCCTACCCCTTCACGTGAACGCGCGAAACGGAGGGGTAGGGGAAAGGGGAAGGGCTAAGGGGTAGAATTGGGATTGGGCCTTAAAATAATTTGCATCTTTGGCTGAAAAAACATGGTTAAATCAACAATAACTCGTTTGTGAGGGCTGTTTGTGAACTGCAGTAACTCACCAAGATGTAGTTTTTGTAGGTTCGAACCGAAGCACCTAACCACTGGTTGGACTTGTGAGCCATTAGGAGCATTTTAACTAATGTGATGTTTTCATCACCTTTGAAACATGGAGAGAGAGAAAAAAGCAGTAGAATGTGCCTGAATATGACCATATTTTTCTTTGTGATATCAAATATTACATAATGCATACTTGTATAGCCCACTGCAGGATGCTACTCACCTTTTTGGTCAAAGTTTAAAGTTTGACACGATTCTCCACTTGATGTCCAAGGACACATGAAGACATAGCCGCCACGAGAGACCCCAGGCTGACTGGTGTTTGCTCTGGGTGCTCCAACCACCACACTTATACTGCATACAGTGTAATATACAGGTTAGTATTGTGTACTTTGGAGTGATAAAAGAATGCACATGAGTGATGCATGTTCATAATTTATACAGTATATTCACAAGCACAGTTAAAAGGTTTGGGTTCATTATTATTTTATTAAATAATTAATACTTTTATTTAAGAAGGATTAATTAAATTGATAAAAATTTACAGTAACAACGTTTACTATGTTAGAAAAGATTTTTTTTTTAAAGCTTTCTACTCAAAAGAAAAAAAAAAGTTTAAGCAGCATAACTGTTTTCATAATAATGATAACAAATGTACTGTGAGCACCAAATCAGCATATCAGAATGTTTTCTGAAGGATCTGAACATTTAAGTCTGGAGTAATGGCTGTAGAAAATTCAACAATTTGTAATAAATTCACAATGGCACAGTTTTGCTGTATTTTTGATCTAATAAATGTAGCCTTGTTGAGCATGAGAGACTTCTTTTAAAAACATTTAAAACTCTTTCAATCCCCAAACTTTAATGGTACTCTACAATAGTTCAATGAGGTTATAATTAGTGTGGGTAATTGTAGCATCAGTACAACATGTTTGGGTGAAGGTTTTAATAGATTCTGTAGCAGTCAACCAACTAATCAATATGCAGAGATGTGGACACCACTCACCTTTTGCTGCTTGACTGATAAAAGTCTACTGAGAAACCAAAGTAGCTGTCCTCAGGGCCAGAGAAGACCGTGTATTTGTTTAGATCCAAGTTAAAGCCACTGATGTGATTCGAATAAATGAGTATGGACAAAAACACAATAAAAAACCACAGACTGACTTTCAGCCTCTGCTCCATTTTCTCTGAGACGGTTGTTATAGTTGCCCAAAGCCGTTTTGCACAATTCTCTCTGCCACTAGGAAGAAGGTAATGTTGTTCTGTTCCTTTGGGAGAGCTCGGTACCACTTGTTATACTACTCTGTGGTTATTGAAGTTAACATGACACTTGTGGGTATGTTTCCGATGTGCTTCCTTCAGATAAAATGAGGAACATGTCATGGGTTTCCTTGATGTTCGGTGAGCATTTTGTGGCATTTATTATTTGGAATTTGCTGGTTTAAAGTAACTGCAGTTAATTTTGTTATTAGATGCCAGAATAGGAACACCCAACTACACCTACAACATTCAGTACATCCACATTATAGTAGAGAAACCAAAAATACTAATATTACTAATTTACCAGAAAAGTACTAAGAGTTGAATAGCTCAAAATAGACAAAAGGGAGGAGTAGTTTAGCAGAGAAGTGACAGAAATTTGTAAGCAGAGGCCACGCTCAGGAAGTCTCACCCTAAGAGATTATGCACTTCCAACAAATATAGCTACTCATCTAAAAAACGCAAAATCGTTATTACATTTTTCAGTTTCCCTTTTAGATTTGTTGCAGATTTGGGTCTGAGTGCACCCTGAAGCAATTCAGCTGCTCTTTAAGTATGAAAAATTGACCTGCTGTTCAACATGCCTTCCAATAAATGTATAAGCTGTTTATCTGGCTCTGGAGAATGTCTTTCTTACTCTGTTTATTGCATCATACCCCTGGGGGACATACAGATATATGTTTGGGTATTTTGCAAATGTGACTTTATTTCTGTGCTTTTTTCATGTAAAATTAGAATTTTTTATTTTTTTTTTGTCAAGTGTCATTGTTCTTTTTTATTCACTGCAGCAAACAAGACTAATTCACTATATTTATATAAAATATAATATGTACCATATATATTTAGAGAGAGAGAAGAGCTGCTATATCGCATTTTGCAACATCACTATCGAATTGAATTGAATCAACATTGAACTGACTTGAGTTGAATAACAACATTACTGCCTATTGTAGAACTACTGAATTGAACTCATTTCAAACTGATGAACTTCACACTGTTATTGATCTGAACTGAACCAACAATAAACTGACTTGAGCTAAATAATCACACTATTGTCTTTTAGATCTGCTTTGTCACAATCTGTATTGTATAAATCACTTTAGAAATAATGGTGACTTGACATGAAAGGTCATTACTTTCAAAGGGGTGCATGAATATGCAATATGTATTCTCTTATTGTTTGTTTAAAGTCATATGCATTTCTATTAAGTCCCAAAACCCAAGACAATCTGTTTACAATAAAATGAGAAGTGTTAAATAGTTACGAGCCCAGAGTGAATTTCAGCTCATTTTCTGACATTGGCAACATTCTATGGTGCATTGAATTTATTTGACAAAACTACACAAAGTTAATAAAGATAAGAGGCATAAAGATAAGAACAAAAACAAAACAACACAATAGCAGTTAAACTTATAAAAAAGGAAGTTTATTTTAGATGAACACACAGATACAAAAAACTAAAAAAACACTGAGTGCTTGGCTGTAGGTCCATGTGTCGCACCACTGGAGTGAGATCCTGAGTACATGGATTCATGAGGATCTGAGCTCAGAATTACATATCTGCAATCCACCAAACTCTGTCAGTAATAGATGGTCTTCTAAACAAACTTCTAAACAAATCGGACAATCAATCAGTGACGCTCTAAAATATTGCATGGAGATACAAGGTTTATTTGAATGACTATGCTTCCATATGGTTTTCAGGGCCTCTGGACTGCTCGGAAAGATCTTTCAGGAGTGTCTCTTTACATTCTGTCACCCAGTCTCCAAGACAGCTCCAACGAGGATGGAGAACCAGGTCATGCAGTAGCCAGGCAAGGAGAGAGCCAGCACAAGGCCCCACCCAATACACCTGCATGAGGTCAGGTGAAACATCAGCATAAACCTTTATATTCATAAAATTATTACATAAAGTTACGCACTAAGTACAATTCATTTTGCGAGTAAGTTTGTTCATGCAAAATGAATGCATTCGAGTAATTTATAAAATAATAATTTAGTATTAATATATAATAGTATTATATACTGTGGATATGTATATATATATTTGTTTTTGTTTTTTTCCCCATGAGGTTTGTTTACTCACCCAGTGATTGTGGAAGTTCATAGTTAGCACAGCTGGACCAAATGACCTGGCAGGATTCATTCCACAGCCTGTGAAGCCAATCTGCAGACCAAACACCACAGGGCAACTATGGGTCTCCTGCCATATTCAAACTTCTTTTCAAATCTCTTCCTATTTATTTGTGGCAAACAAGCAGTTAATTTATGTTTAATAAAAAATGTCTACCAGAAGTTTTCAGCTGTTAATGGACTTGAATTACATTTCAGACAGAGAAAATAGACTTTAATGAATTAATATGAACTAAATATTATATGTAATATTATATGACTAAGTATTGACTAAATTTAAAGAACATTTTCATCAAAAGACAAAAATTAGTGTGTAAAAATACCACCACTTAACCCTACAAAATCCATGAACCAGTGAGCATTCAGTTCACTTCAATGTTTGTATAATGAACAATTGTATTCATATCTTTAAATAAAGTCCAAAGAAATCTCATCAGCCATCCTTACTGCCACAAGATGACCAATGGTGACAGACAGGCCGATGACGGCAGGGCCCATGGAGGAAAACGCTGATTTGGGATGAGTGACAGCCTGGAGACACAGCACTAGCTGGAATGTAACAGCCATCTCCACTAACAGAGCCTGATACAGATACACCCCCAGGGCCACCTGAAGGAGGGTAAGTGGAGTTTTATCTGTTATTGTTGGACACTATCTGTCTTTTCCGACTGCCTCTATCTCTTTTCCCCATTCACTCCAATTACCTGGCAAACTATTTTTTCTTCCCTTCTCTCTCTCTTACTTTCTATCTCGCTCCATCCATCCATGCCCATCTTACTGTTCCCTCAATTTCTCTGACACACGCAGAGCACATTTGCCATCAAATTTATATTTTTCTTGCGCATTCTTATTTTGGCACTCTCCTACTGTTTCCTTCTTCTTAGTGATTTACAGACCTGCTCCTTCCCTAGACTCCTTTCTCGTTTTTTGATTTTTCAAAGATTAGCTGTTTCTTTCTAGTGTATTTGAATGTTCAATCTTTCTACCACAATGCCTCTGTATTTCTGTTTACTATTAAAAACTTTTTGACAGATCTGTATTGTACTAAAAAGAACACAAAAAGGAGAAAACAGAATAAAATGCAGTGTTCCACTTTGACAGGTGCACTAGGATGTCATGTCATGCTGAGTAAGAATAATACAGAATATAACATGGTTTCTTACATTTCTACCCTTACAATCCAATGTCTACATTATGCATTTTGTTAACTAACAACCATCAAAATTACAAGGAGAATTGGCTAATTGGAGAATGAAAAGTATAACACTATGCATGTCATAATGAAATTAAGAATAATTTGCAAGAAATCATTAAATTACATTGTGGAATAAATGAGAATGGCTTAATCACTTGGTACTTACCTAGCGTTAACGTAATAATGGTGAATAAAAGCCTTGATTTTATTGAGCAAGCACATTAACTATAGACACAGAAATGTTTTAGATAAATTTAAATGGTCTCTTTTAAATAAGATTTCCACAGATCTCGAGAGAAATCAAATGCTCATTAAACTACATTCAAATCCTTAAACTACATTTAATTTTGATCCTGACAAAGTTGGCCACACTGATCACAGATAACAAAAAACAGATATGAGAGGATCCAGACCACAGAGGATACAAAACACAGAGATCAAAAGATCCACAGAACAGATCAGAAAATCCAGAGCACAGAAATCAGAAGTGAAGAGCTCAGACATATGATAGAGAAATCTGCCGATCCAGAACAAAGTCATCAGAAGATACACTAATGAGATGAACCAGAACACAGATATTACTGGAGGTACCCCAACACTTCACATTTTGGATGTCTCCCTAATCTGACCCATCCATTTCAAGTCTTGGAATCTATACTAATGAACCTATGAGTTGATCAGGTGTATTTGATTAGGAAGGGTTTGATTGGGTGGCTCCAAGAACAGGGTGTGGGAACATTGATGTAGAGAAGAGATCAGAAGATCCAGAACACAGATATCAGAATACACAGAGCATAGATATCAGATTAATATTAGAGAACCTTATAGACCAGGGGTTCTCAGCTCTGGCCCTCAAGGTCCAGTTTAGCTCCAACCCTCATCAACCACACCTGAACAAGCTAAACAACATCTTCAGGATTACTAGAAAGTTACAGTCAGGTAAGATTGATCAAGGTTGGCACTAAACTTTGTGGGAAAGTGGACCTTGAGGGCCAAAGTTGAGAACCCCTGTTATAGACAGATTAAGATAAACCTGTAGAATCCAACACATCTCACCTCATTAACCCCCAGGTTGCTCTTTAGGGCAGTCGGCATGATGCCTAACAGGAGAGCACATGCACTGAGGGCACCAAGCAGTTGGGCTCCCACCAAGAGGACAGCCCGCCAGGGGCTTACCCTCAAGCCTGCAACCAAAGCCAGGGTAACCACCGGGTTGAGGTGCACCTCACCCAGGCAGACAGAGGCCAGGGTTAGAGATACTCCGAAAGCCAAAGAAACATGCAGTGGGTCGGGCGAGCATGCCAAAGAAGAGTCCAGCGTCGGGAGGGGTTCATCTGTGATGGAGTCCCATGACAGAGGCCCTGCATGTGGCCATAGCAAGACAGAAGAGAGGCTGATGAAGAGGAAAAGAACAGTTCCCAAAAACTCACAGAATATGTCCCGTAAAAACAAGCCAGACCATACGTCCCTTAGGATCAAGCTGAATGTGGACAAGGGTTTCATGGTGCTTCTTCTTCAGCTCGTCTTCTCTGTTCGTACTGCACCTTGTAACCTAGATCTCCTGTAGCAATGAATTTTGAATTAGCAGTCTTGATTCTAAATCAGATCTAGAAGAGACATTAACACCATGTGCTCCAAATCCAGCCACGCCATTCTTATATTTGGCCATTAGCATGTGACCCTGTGACATCTTTAAATGGATCCCTCAGCTTTCACCCTGCCTTCTTTTGTCCGCTGGCCTGATCTTTCCTGAACACTGTCACAGAAAAGGCTTGCAATTTCATCAGGTGTTAAGTGAAGAACCAAAAAGAACCAGGCGCTGCTTTCAGACTCTCTCTGTATGCTAAACGTCTCCTTTCCAGCACCGATTGGATTTCCTTATCAAAAACCAGCAGTCCTCCCTCTGGGGTTTCACCTGCCAGCGGGGCTAAGCTTGAGGGTTGGACTTGATTCAGGCACTTTATCGAAAAGGCTCTCATGTATTCCTCTGAGGTAGTCACCACTGAAAGGGATTAAGACGTGTCAAATATCCAACGTTTCACTAAGTACCCAGCAAGTGTTAAGACGAAGAAAGATTAGATCTTAGTAGGCGATAAAAATCAGAGAGGAGCCAAGGCATAATGTGAAGATAGTAAAGAATACAGCAAAGAAAGCAGACTTTTTATTCTTTCATTCTGGGCTGACCAAACCCAAATACACACACAACTCAATTTCAACCCACAAATTTAAGTAAATATGAGTGTTGTTCTAAAACGTTGTCCATGTCTATATCTGCTTATGCCTTTAAGCAGCAAGTCAAGTAGCTCAAAGTGACTGAGAAAAAAGAGTGGAAAAGAAAACTCTTGTGATAACATGGCCAACCCCAACAATGGGTGCACAGTTTGAGACTGAGCTTCTGTGACATTCTATAGAGGTCATAGTATGAATGTAGGTCTAATCAGGATAAGGTTGATATGAGTGAAACATGACTAGGAACTATAAGGTTTCCTTTTTAGGGGAAAAGATAAGTCTTCCGTATTTGACAAGGATTTTGATGGAAGGACACTTGGAGGACTCAAATTTATGGAAAGAGGGAGTATTTCATAAAAACTTCCTGTGCAAAAAAAAAAAAAAAGAAAGACATGAAAATGGTTAGTTTATATGCATGTGTTTGACAGATGAACTATTTCACTTATTATCAGTTGTTAATAGAGACACTACAAAATTACATTGTTTATATTTATATAGACGCTATTTGAGATTCTGTGGGAATGAGATAAAATCATACCACAAAACTTCTGGAGCAGGGATGATGCCCTTTGATTTGTGCTTTACAAGTTGGTTAGAATGGTTGACCCACTTCTGTGAAGGGTCCAGACATGTGAAACTCTTGGCTAATATTTGGAAAACAAGAAGTAAGGTAAAATCCATTAGTGTAGACTTTGATCCGGTGTGACCGCGTCTGACCTAAACCAGGGGATTTCACACAGTTTGATGCCCAGGACTCAAATATCTTTGGGTGACATATCCGTACTATAATGTAAAGCCAGCTATACAGTTTCAAGTCCTTTATACCATTATTGCGAACGAAACTTTCATAGGTCAAAACATTAAAAGCCTCTTTTTATATTTATTTTTCTTGGCCAATGTACAAGTTTTGAACCATTTGAAATGGACTGACCCATCTCTCAAATGATCTGTGGACATTCTGAAACCCTTGACTTATTCAGTGTGTTCCAGGCTATACAAAAATCATAGATATTCCCAAAAACCTCAGTTTCTTTGAAATTCTAGCAAATATCTGACTTTGGAAAGAGAAATAAGGTACACAAATGATACCAATGACTCTTGAAAATGACTTTTTAGCTGATGTCTAAGAAAACGAGACTGTCTAGGTCTTGCTAAGGTCAAAGCGGTATTAAGATTCCAGTTCAATATTCTTGTCTCAGTAGGTCTTATCTTACAACCTCAGTCTGCGGTTTTAGCCGGCTCCCAGATTTGTGTTCATTTTGTTCAGTCTCTCCCCTGGACAGGGTTGGGTTTATATTCATTGTCCATCCTCAACCTGTGGCCATCTGTAAATCGTTTTCTGAGTTTCTGCAGAGGCTCAGAACCAGGTACTAAATCTAATCAGGCCACCCCTCCTGCATTTGAAGATTACAGTTGGTCACCCCACCAGCACAAGGGCTTTGTCATGTAAGAAGTGCAGAAGGGTATCATTTCGGATTGGATTCCACTGGAGGATTTTTGAAATTTACTCAGGCCTCAGGTGTTTCACATCAGTGCCTGTTCTTTTAGTGAAATTTCTCCGGCAGCAGAAGTCAAACTCTTCTGCACTTTTCTGCTGACTTGCATATCATGTCAGGAGCTGCGGTGCAATTCATACCAAAAAGCAAATCACATATTTAAAAAAAATTACATTGCTAAAGGCCCATAACCATAACTTTTGTGAATATATCAGAAGAATTTAAAAAAGTTTCTAAACAATTTTGTCCACTGGAAGATAAATACAGTACCTCCGTCTTCAAATGACATCCGATATAATTGCCTGCTACTTCAGCCGTCTGTATGTATTATTGATGACAAATCTAATAAGACTAAAACTGTCAGATTTTTGATGAGGTGAAAACGTAGGTGATTTCAGCCCTAAAGGAGGAATACATTTCAGCTAGTCATTTAGCAAGAGTTTTCTGACTCATTACTCATTTTTAATTAGTGAAGTTGGCCCAGTCATTGGATGACCAGTTCTTATTTCATTTTAGACACATTTATTCAAAGGACCATGAAAATGTTACTCTATGTTAGTGTGAAACCTGTTTGAAAACAGTCATTATTGTTTGGTTGCATTTGTGGAAAAAAAATTACATATTTTGCCTTTAAAAAACAAACATTATTAAGCATTATTTAAGCGAATAATATTTGATTATTAAACTAAATTTCTTAAATCAGTTAACTCACAAAAAAGGCTCAAGCTGGACCACCTGCACCACACACACACACACACACACACACACACACACACACAAACTTAGCCTATAGACCTGTCCTTCACTCAAGAGTTTCATTCATCATCTGTCCATTGAAGACCCCACAGAGGTCGGGTTACACCGGGCAAAGCGTCTCCCTGCACACACCTCTAACTCCCTATAATCGAAGGCGATGACACATTCATTTTCACGCCCTGTCTTCCAGCCTGCCTCTCACCAGTGATAGCTGTGGTCTGCTGACTGCTGACTGCTAGCTGACCTTGAGTCAATAACACTCAGTAGTAACCAAACTTCAAATTAGGACTAGGTGATGTATAATATGTAACAGTCATGATTTTGGACTTTTGGACCGGTCATTACGTTTCCTAAAGATTGTCAAATATGGTGTGTTAATACATTTAAGTGAATCAATTAAAAATGCATATGCATAAATAATACTGTTCAAAAGTTTAAGGTCAGTAAGATTATATACTGTATATATATATTTAAAAGAAATTAAGACTTTATTCAGCAAGGATGCATTAAATTGATCAAAAGTGACAGTAAAGACATGTTACAAGATTTATATATACAAAAACTGTTCTTTTCAATTACCCATTCATCAAAGAATCCTGAAATTAATGTACTGTTTCCACAAAAATATTAAGCAGTGTTTTCAACTTTGAGCACCAAATCATTATATCAGAATGTTCAGGAATAAATTACAATTTAAAATATATTAAAATAGAAAAGAGTTATTTTAAAGCCTTGGTGAGCATAAGAGACTTTTCAAAAACATTTTACTTAAAATCTTACTGACCCCAAACCTTTGAATGGTGTACATACATACACAGCTGAAGGGGTGGATTCTGGAATCCACTGCCGCTTCAATATATCCTTTCAAGTGGTTTAAGTTTTTAATTAATATTATTCTTTGAAATATTAAATGATTTGAACTTCTCCAAGTGAAATTTGATGAATATAGAATTACATCTTATACAGAATTCAGAATACAGAATTATAGTCTTCTCACTGGAATGTGATGTCTCCTTGGTTTGAGAAAAGCACCCAACACATTAAAACATACATTTATTCTTCTGACTTACTATGACAGCTTAAGTCACAAAGGTCATTAGGGCCTCTCAACTACATGATCAATTTACAAAATAAAGCATTTACTTTATTCTTCATCTTTAAAAATTGTCGGGACGATAGCCTCGTGGTAAGTGCGCCGACATAGACAGTGCAACTGCGCTCTCACGGCGACCTGAGTTTGATTCCTATCTCGAGGTCCTATGCCGGTCCCGCTCCCCTCTCT